ATTTAATCTAAGTAAGTTTTTCTTCCCAATTTGTAAAAAAATTATTACGTGATAGAAAAAAATGAATATTATTTTCGAAATCTGCGTAGCTGAATTATAGATAATTCGTTATTAAAACCAAAACAACTTCTATGAAGTTTAAATTCACAGGCTTGTGAAATTAGGAATGGTAAAAAATCAATCACACCTCATTTTCAAGGTTCTAATGCTAGTTTGAAATTTTTTTAGAATAACTCACTAACAAGGAAAAAAACTCGGTTGAGAACGATTTAGCGACATTTTACAGTTTCGAAAAGAAAATGTTTTTTTTTTCTTTAAATAGATCACTCATATGTTTTGTAGTCCCAGGTTAGTTTGAGTCTCAGAATTAAAAACGTTTGTTTTGTAATGACTCGTTATAGAAGTCAACAAATATTATTGTTATACACAAAAAAGACAACTATTGCATATTTATGAAAACGAAACTTGATTTATTTCAGAATAAAATCTGAAAATAGCTAAGCTTAGAATGTAACAAATATTGTATTCATGCCTCTTTGTGATACTCCAACTTGAAACTACCAGTGGTAAAGTTTATCTCTACAAAGAGTGAACAAACTTATTGGTCTTCTTTATCACAAGAACCAAGAGATAGGGACGTATCTTTTTCTTGTTCTTCAATCTCTTTCTCTAGCATAGCCCTAAAAACCATGTCCGTGGGTGAACCTCTTGAGGTGGAGGTCTTAGATTTGTTTTTGTAATGGGCATTTTTTCTTTTGTTTGACATTTTGTCTGTTCCGTTATTTGCAAGGTCCTTCCGTCCGCTGGTTTTTCCACACGTGTGTTTTGAATGATCACACGAAGTCTGGGATTGTCCTAGATTAACCTCACAGTTCGGTATGTGTTTGAGAAGTTTTGCTATATTATCTTCTATTTTACTAATCTTTTGATTTAATCTCTGGACTTCCTGCTTCAGGTCAATTCGCAGGTCCATAAAGTTAACAATTATTTGTTGATAATCAGTGCTGGACAAGCTTCTAGGTGAGAAAAGATCAGAAGAAAAATTTCCACTATCAAAACTATAATGTCTGCCTCCGTTCTTTTGTTCTTCCACGTGAATATGTCGGTGGTAGTAATCTTTACTGTTCCCTGAAATATTGTCATCAGTTTCTTTATCTGGTTCAGTTGTTTCCTCGATAGACTCTTGGCGAGATAAAATTTTGGACCACTTAGTTAAATTGTTTGCTCCTAAGTTTGATACAGTTTTTGGATCTTTTACCACATGCAACGAATCTGTTTTTTTCGAAATTATTTCACCCTTTTTAACTAGGCTTAAATTTTCGGCTGCACCCTGGTTTTCTTTGTTATCACCACTAGCCCTGTCAGTTTTTATTAGTCCAACTGCTGGCGTCCATTTTGCAGCCCTGCCTGAACATCCATCTTTCTCTCCTCCTTCCGAAATATTTAGTAATTTAACAAGGGCATGGTTTCTGCGTGGAGGTTGTGTCCCACTTTCGCTGGATGTCGGTTGCTCCCCTCGTTCCACATCTGGATTCGGCAATAAGGGCACCTGATTATTAGCAGAACCGCTCCTCTTAAAGCGAGAGAAAAGCTTGCGCACGAGGTGATCATGTGCAATTTCTTGTAAGGGCTCATTACGACGTCTCTCTCCTAATTCCTTTTCTTTCTTTACATCGATTACCTTGCGGAATATTAACTGAAATACACAACGTTCTTGTTAGTACAGAACTCTGTTAAATAAAAATATATATATATTATACCTTGTTGTTTTAATTTCTTTGTAAGCAGATAAATTTTCATCGTGTTTTACATAATTCTAAAAAAATTAACACAACAACCAATAGTTAGCCTCTGTGTACAACAAATAGATGTAGTTCAAGTGCTATTATTCACTCTTCTTTCATGAAACCCTCACTGAGCCTTATTAAAGAATAATAGTGTGTCAAATACTATCAGTTTTACTATGCTGTAATATCACACAAGTATTACTACTCAACACAACAACTCAAAGCTATGCCCTATTTTTAAAATATAGCAGGATATGTTGAAGCGTTCTCACTATGCAAGAAAATTTATCAAACTCATGGGCAACATTACTCTTGTTAGGCTTTGAATCAACTTTTTTCTTTCTCTATATATTCCTACATATTACAAATTAAGAATCGCAGTAGAGATAACCCTGTTAGTGAAAAACGTATAATAACAACATATCATGTGCCAGTTATAAATATTCGCGAACTTGTAATTGTAGTCCCCTAAATTTCCAGTAGATACCACGATTGAAGATAAAAAAAAAAAAATTGTTTGTTTGTAATTGAAGATTATCGAGATCGGGTTTCTAGCGTTGTAAGTACGCAGATATACCGCTGTGCCACTGGAGTACCAAAATTAGGTAATTCGTTTGTTGTTAACCGCACAGGTATTGAAGCCTGTTTTTTAGGTTATGAGACTTTCAGACTTTCTGCTTAAGTAATGTGTGTGTGGGTGGGGGGGGGGAGGTGAGAATTTTTTTGTTTTTTTTATTAAGTCTCCTTTGCGATAATAGATGCATCTTTACATTCGAAGGGTCCATATCCACTTGAATCTGTTGAATCAGTTTTTAAAATACTGTTTTAATGATTTAGTATGGTGACATTAAAACGTGATTCATTTAAAAGAAATCAAAACAAACGCGTTAGTTTGATCATTTTTCATTTTAAGAACTAAAACTTGGTAAAATACTTTTAGTAAAAATATAAAATACGCCATTCAAAATCGAAAATAGAGTATTTACTGAATATTTAAAACCCATTGAAAGAGCGTTGAATAACAGATGTGTTGCGAATATTTCCTAATATTGTTTGCTTAACAAATTTTACCTCTAAACACCAACAAAAAAATAACTTCAGCGCAAAAACTCTTCTCAGAAAATTGTTATAATTCGTATATTTTTATTATTGTAAAGGATGTTTATGTAATTTCGTGAGAGGAAAACATTTCATGTGAGAACTCGTATGTTATAGTATAATAAAGTGGGTTAATAGCACTTTATATGAACACATTTATATACTAATGCATTAGTGTGTCTTTCGAGTTGTAACACCAAGGGCGTCATTTTGAATTCCTACATAGTTAGTTGACTGAATATACGAAATCATTCGACAGTGCAATGTCTCTACATATAGAATTATGCCTGGATAAATACGAAACATCTATTCCGAGAAATTATATTCATACATATAAAATTTGTTAAATGATATGGAGCTAAACTAAAAGGAAGTCTACAGTGTTTTCCATAGAAGTAGAATAACTCATAGAGCAAAGCGTTTGAATAAACAATGGGCTTCGGAACCACATTCCAAACCAATCCAGAGTAACGTCCTCATCCTCAAAGTAAAGATTGTGGTTATGAAAGAGAATTTTCTGATCCCCCTTCTTCCCCCAAAAAAGCCATTATGTGAAGTTGGGCATATTTTCTGGTACAGTTAGCAAGGTAATAAATAGGAACTTGAAGTTGATGAAGACTCACAAGCTAAAACATCACCTGCTTTCGATCATACCTTGAAATCAATTGAAGTTTTCAAAATGGACTGCCGAGGTGACTATAATAGCAGCAATCTCATCGACCCAATACCTTCACTGATGCAGTTCCAATAAGATTGTTTTCTTGTTTTTTAAGCAGATGCCCATGTACAGTGGATGGTCTGTGGAAAGCCTGTGAAGATGTATGATCTAGGATTAATCATACTGTTCTTCACATAATCTACAATGGAAATTTTGATGCTAGGTAACAGTACGTAATTATGGTCACCAGAATGAACACGATCAGATATGGAGAAAGTATGGAAGGTTATTCACTATATATGCTAAAAACTTGCATATATTCCATAACCTTAACCCTAGAAACCCCCATGGCTTGTGGCGACAAATGTTAAAAGCCCCCCCCCCCGACAACTTGTTACAATTCAGTTCAAATGTGGAGATTTGCCAGTGTCAGTCGCGCTTATATCTTTTGGCGGTTTCACATTACATATCTTTCCGAAACGAAATTTTAGCGTTTCGAGGAAAGAAATATCTCTAGTGACAAGCTATACCAGTAATACAAGAGAAGGTGTAATTCCAGCAAGTAAAAAAAAGGCTAGTTTAGAGCAAGCTATCAATCGTATATCAGAGGTAAGAAAAAAAGTCAAACAGCTTGTCACCGGAAGTAAACCAAAAAACATTCATTCCTTACAGCTAAATAAGAACCTCCCTTGGAACTAAAACATTCCCACGACTTTAGGTCTACAAAAATTATGTACAGTAATTATGCTCACAAGCTTCTGCCACAACACATAGCCGAACAGCTTATGACAAATGAAAGCATATCCTGATATTGGACAACTTTACTTAAGTAACTACAAACACGCCCAAGAAATTTGTTATCGTTTTACCAGTGTATAACACTTTAAATATGGTACAGAACATGTCGCGAAAGTTTTTCTAAAGGATTTATTGCGGTTATGGGTTACAGCTATGATGGGAATTTAAACATTCAGGGAGTCGAGAAAATTCCAAGGTAAACTCTGGGTACTATCAGGCTAGCGTGCTGAAAAACTTTATGCCACGAGGAAATACCATCTTTGTACAGAATAGAGGCTATTAAGATGGCTCTATGAAGAAAAGGTATCCAAACACATGTTTAAAACCAACACGCCTGTATCTTCGCAAGATCCAAATACAAACGAGAATTTACGTTATATCGTACGTAGTCATTTCTTGTGAATTTCTGTGCCTTCGGCTTGCTTAAGCAGGCTGTCGGTGTCGTCGATTTTGCAGAGTTGATGCATTTTGGACAGTATGTAAAGATGAAAGGGACAACAATGGTCTCATTGTATTGCGCAAAATCCTTCTACAATGAAAATGACGCCGCAAAACAATATTCAATCATCTGAGCCATCACATAGAATATCATTGGTAGTGGAAGGAGAGGATGCAAGACCTATGACGTATCCTTGTATCGTTACCATGATCGTGTAGTTTCAAGAGTAGCAAGGGTCTAAAGCATCGTTTCTATAAAGTGTGATGAACTTCAGCAGCCTGTCGTCAGGGTTTTGATGTGCACTTTAATGAAACATTTTCAGTCAAAAGATTCCAAATAGTGACGTAAAATATTATACTTTAAGGTACGAATATTTAAATACATACAATTTGTTATTGTTATATGGAAACATTGACAAGTAAATTATTATCGGGTGAGGAGGTTTAGAAAGTATATGACATATTAAAATTATGTCGAAACTTAAATAATAATATACACTATCCTACCAAAAGTCATGGGACACGCCTCTGATTGCAAGAAAATGGGTGTGACGATGAAATATGCAAATAGTTTGGCCTATAAAGGTGATCAGCGGGTGGCTCGGAAATCATTTCGAGCTTGTATGCCAAACAATGAGTATATGGAAAGAGCTAACAGTGTTTCAGAGGGGAAGGATAGTTTGATGTCTTTTTGGGAAAATGTCTGTACGTGCTATTGCGCGACAATTAAACATTTCCAGGTCGACAGTTGGCAAGGTGCTGAAGAAGTGGAAGTCCACGGGTGACAACGAGCCCAAGAAACTACCAGGTAGACATAAACTACTGACTGACAGGAGCCGACGCGCCTGCAGAAGGTTGGTTACCTCATCTCGCCGTCAGACCTTGAAGAATCTGTGTTTGGAGATGTGAGCAGCCACAGGCAATCATACAAGTGTTTCCACGACACATCGAGAGCTGCATGTCATAAATTTTCACTGAATAGTTGCAGCCCACAAGCTGTTGATAACAAAAACAAATGCACACCGTCAATTGGCATGGAGCAAGACACACCGGACCGTTAATCAATGGAAATCGGTCCTGTGGAATGACGAGTCACGCTACACGCTCTTCCACTCTGATGGAGGTGTTTGGGTATGGAGGATGCCTGGAGAATGCTTATTACCTGAGTGTGTTGTCACAACAGTGAAGTTTGGAGGTGGCAGTATCATGGTTTGGAAATGCTTCTCGTGGTATGGACTAGGTCCACTGGTCGCAGTGAATGAATGCTGAGTCCTACATTGATGTTCTGTACAATTCTGTGTGTCCTACATTGTGGCAATGTTATTTGTACCGGTTCTTACACCTTCCAACATGATAGTGCTCCATGTCACAAAGCAAGGATTGTGAACGCGTGGTTTGAAGAGAATAAGATCGGAACATTGCAGTGGCCAGCACAGAGCCCCGACCTCAACCCGATAGAACATCTCTTGGATGAACTAGAACGCAGAATTAGGGCAAGGCCAAGAAGACCCTCTTCAGTAATGGAGCTTATTAATGGAGTTTACTAATGCTTTAAAGGAGGAGTGTTGCACAATACCACAAGCTTTCTACCAGAAATTAGTAGACAGTCTTCCACGACGCATTGAAGCAGTGATTAAGGCCAAAGGCGAGCCAATACGCTATTAATTGTTTGGAATAAAGACATGTTTTGTTCACAACTACCCGTGTCCCATTACTTTTGGTAGGATAATATATTATTTATACGTTTAAAATCATTCACTTTTAGACAAAAACATAAAATCCGTATATAAGTTTATAAATGTCAACTTTTATAAATTTTACATATAGTGTATAAAAACAATTTTTTTTCACATTATTTATTTTAGTAATGAAAACACTATTGAACTCAGAAACGTATGTTTTGTTTAACTTCTTAAGATCATTGCGAAATTAATGAGTATTACACCGGCATTTCTGAGATTATTCGAGAAATTTCGATTCATTATATTTACGAATAAACATTCCTGAAAAAAATATAAAATTGATAAATATTTAATGATAAGTTTCTTTGATAGCAATATACTCAATACACTTATGCCTGTGTGACAAGGTATGTTCAACCTAAAAGACAACATTATACGACATATGTTCTAAAAGCCCAGTTTGTTTGTTTGTTGTAAAGCACAAAGCTACACAATGAACTATTTGTACTCTGCCCACCGCGGGTATCGAAACCTAATTTTTGTTTATAAGTCCGTTGACTTACCGCTGAGCTACAGGAAGAACAAAAACTCAGATTAGATATTCCAAAGTTCAGGCTTAACTATCCCTAAAATACCGACCAAAGTGATGGAAGCAAATCAGCACTCCACCTAGATGCCTGCTTTTAGCCGAATACCGAGATTGTCTGTCCCTTACATAAACGCTCACATCTGAAAGTGTGTAGCATAAACGGAGGCATATCTCTGCTCAAACCTTGGACCTTCCATTACACAGCCCTGAATACAATCCACTAAGCCATGTCAGATATTAGAATTAAAAACCTGCTGCTGTAATTTGAAGTCATTCTCTCATTGGACATAGAAACTGCTACTGTAGCTTGAAGTCACCCACTCAGTAAAGTAACAGCCTGCTACTGTTGTGACCATGAACTTAAAGTTGGTTGGTTGGTTTGTTTTAGAACAAATCCATATTGAGATGCCCGCTGTGCCCACCGTGGGAAATCAGACCCCGGACTATAGCTTTGTAAGTTCGTAGACTTACTGCTCTATTATCGGGGAGGGGGGGAGTGTACTCAATTTATAGAAAAGGAAGTGATGATAAGAGGCAAGTTGTAGTACTTCTTTTGAGTCAAGATTACTATTAGTCTAACATTGATAAACAAGACAACTGCTATGAATACAACCAACATCTCTGTATATTTCCAATAATCTAGCATGTATGTATATTTAAATCAATTAAACCACCATAGGTGAATACTACAACCAATTGAGTAACTCTGCAAATAATTTAAATAACCCAGTATTACGAATATTTTGAACGTTTGTTGATATTTTCTGTAATCCAGTGACTCTGGATACTTTAAACATTCATTTACCTATGGATGTTTCAAACAATTCAATATCAGAGGATAATTCAGCAGATCAAAATTTTCGGACCTCATGATTAATAAATCATTTTTCGATAATGTCAGACTTTATCTTACTTTTAGTAAATAATCGTTTATAATCTCTGGCATATAATAAATAAACAATGCATCCTCTATATAGCACTTAACGAGAAAATCGTTTTCTGTTTCTCAGGCTCGGCATGTCACAGGCCGGAGTTAAGGCGCTTGACTCGCAATCTGTGGGTCACGGGTTCGAATCCCCGTCACACCAAACATGCTCGCCCTTTCAGCCGTGGGGGCGTTATAATGTGACGGTCAATCCCACTATTCGTTGGTAAAAGAGTAGCCCAAGAGTTGGCGGTGGGTGGTGATGACTAGCTGCCTTCCTTCTAGTCTTATACTGCTAAATTAGAAACGGCTAGCGCAGATAGCTCTCGTGTAGCTTTGCGCGAAATTCAAAACAAACAAACAAATTCTGTTTCTCAACTGTGATAAACCTATCAACATAGTCATAATTACTCTTAGAACAAGTACTATTTCATCCACGTTCATTGAATCACATAGTTTCATCTTATTTGTGTTAATAGAATGGTGTATAAAAACTACTAAAAAATGATGATAAAATATGATTTCATTTTCTTGTGGCAAAGACTTACTTATTCTTATGATTTTTTTCTGACTTGCCACATTAAAAACTGCAATTTAATAACTTTGAAAATTATGATTTTTGTTTTCACAAACTAGCATTTTACGATTAAGTAAATATGTAAAAAAATCAGTCAAGTGACTGTAATTGAAACTTGTGATCATTTGAGTTAGAAAATAAAAAATGCATTTTGGAGCAAAACTTAGGTTGAAGTTTTAAATTTTATTCTAAACAGATTTATCTCACCCTGTGTCTGAGGTTATAAGTTAGGACCAGATTTCTGGCAAAGGAGTTGGCGAAGGCATGGTAAAAGTTGAGCACTTCAAGGAGTTTGTCCCTTTTAATAGCATGAAGATCACAGTATGTTAGAGCTCGTACGTTAGCACAAGACTGGCCAATCGTAGGTTCCTTCCAGAACACGTCACCAAAAACGTCACCCTTACCTACATGATTGGAGCATGATTAGTAAGGGTTGTATAAAAACAAATAAATTCAATATTCGTAAGTCACTTACTTAAGTTAGTTTTCTGTATTGGTAACGATTGATAAAAAGGTATTTTATTTACTTCATGACAAAATTCGAAAGCTTAATTTCAGCTTAAATCGGATATTTTTCTGGATAAAGTTATCGGAATCCTACATTCCACGTCTGTATATGTGATAAAACCAACTTAAATTACACGTTCGGCAGGCAAGTGGACTCAAAGTAATATTCTGAATGGAGAAGGAAGGCCATACAACCATTCTGTGAAAGTAATGCTGCAAAAAATAGATACATTTATGATATGAAACATAAGATATTTCAATAAACTACTGCGACTGCGCTGAGAAAAGTCACAAACGAAATCAAATAAAAAACTTAATAGATAGTGAAATAGGTATATACTGTGGTTTTTGGGATACAAAAAAGTCATAAAAACCATTATTTGGTGAGTTATAAAACGTAACATATAAATGGGCAGTTCCAGAAGAAAGAATTATTATTATTTTTATTTATTTTGTGTGTCCTATGGATATTGAGTTTGAAAACAACAACAACTAGAAAATAACAAGCTATTTTAAATCAAATGAAAAATAATAATTTATTACTATTTTAGACCTAATTGTTATCTAAAAATATATATACAATTTTATAAGAATTATATATATATATGAAAGAGATATTTGAATCTGAGTTGTGAATTAAACATATATATATGTTTTAGGAAGAAGGCATTTTGATTGGTACCTAATTCATACAAGCTGAAAACAACAATAACCACGTTATTCATGGTTTACTTAATTTCTAACACAGCGAAGAAAGCCCAATGTGTACTTTTGTACTAAAAACAATTGTTATTATTCAGAGCTCATTCTAATGTTGCGCTAAAATGTAGATTAATCTACGTTTAGTTTAGGCCTGGTGGTAAGGGCATTCTGATGGTTGCGGATTCGAATCCCGTCTCCGAACATGCTCGCACTTTCAGCCATGGGGGCGTTATAATGTGACTGTCAATCCCCTATTCGTTGGTAAAGAGTAGCCCTAAAGTTGGCAGTGGATGGTGTTGACTAACTACCTTCCATCTAATCTATCACTTCAAAATTAGGGACGGCTAGCGAAGATAGCTCTCGAGTAGTTTAGCGCGAATTTCAAACCAACCAAACACAAATCTTCAAGTTTAATGGGGATACTTTTCTTCAGAAAATTAAGCAGATAAAAACTTTGGCGTTTACAATACTTATTCAGATAACTTTTTAAATTTATTCAGTTTTTTTTCAATTCACATTCATTTAACAGCTAACGATTTTACATTTCGTTTTTAAAAACGATGACAAAAGTTTTCTTGAAAAAATAAAACTGTAGTAATTTAAAATCTCGAGTGTTTTATAGATTCAGTTGACTTGGCTTATGGTGTTTTCTTATATTTTCGTTAAACTGTATTTCAAAAGTTTTTGAAGCTTTGCACTGTTAGTTTTGGTTTAGGTTTTAGTGAACTCTTCTGAAGAAGCGTAAAGCGAAATGTTGAGTGTCTAACTAAATAACATTTTGATGTTATAAGGTCGTTTATTTCTAGTATTAATAAACCAGCTGGTCTTTATTCCATTGCAATCAAAATAAATCTTTTTTTTTCTCGAATAAAACATATTTTAGGTAATAACAAACGAATAAAACACATATACATATACGTACACATAATACAAAGGATTATATTGTTTAGTCTCCGTTTGTTAATTGATTTTTCCGTAACTTCGTTCCGACGAAACTTTAGCGACACAAGTCCTTACTTAATAAAACTGGTTTATTCTTTCCGAATACAACTTTACGATACACTTATTTTCAATATTTGCGCTAAAACAAACACTATAACGAACGAACGTTAACTTCAACAATACTCTGTGACTGCAGTTCAATTACTCACTATCTACACAAACATTACATTATTATCCCGTCACTTTGTCACCCTCTTTTATATACCAGACTACCCTATATCTAGTAAATG